GCCCAGCCCAGCCCAGCCCTGCCCTGCCCAGCCCCAAATGCGATTAGAGTGCGGCCCAACCCAAACTCCAGCCTCAACCGCAGCCCCAACCCTAGCCCTACCTAGAAGCAGTCCAACACCAGTCCAATACCAGCCTCACTTCAGCCCAGTATCCTCCCCAGATCACAGAGCTCCAATCCCAGAATTTTCTCTGTTGTCCTCCCTTTGATCATCACTCTGGTCCCCTGACATATTCTCAAACTTCCTACTCTTCACCTCTCACATCCCAACAGCCCCTGCCTTTCAGTTGGACCTCCCTCCATCTCTCCCATCAGACATCTCAAAGCCCGGGATTTGGAAACTTATTCCACCTTCTAGGTCTCCAATACCCTCAGTCCCCGAAATGCTGGACCCAATCATTCCTGAGCACCCCCATCTGATGCCACCTGACTTACGCCTGACCACCACCACACACATCTTGAACTTGCACCCCTCATCCTGGTCTCCAAGCCCAGCCAACCTCCAGAGACTTCTTTTGACTCAGACTGCCAACTTAAAATGCCACAGACCCAAACTCTCCCCTTCTTCAGAATCCAGGCCTAGCTAACTCACAAACTCCAATTCCCTTCCCAGGGGGCTCTCAGCTCCAAATTCCACCCTTGAGTTTAAGAGTAACCCCAATATCTCCTACCCCTTGCAGAATCCCAACACTGTCTCCCTCTGATTTGAGTCCAGAACCCTTACCTCAGCTTGGAACTCTTGCCACCTTATGTCCCATCATCTCAGGTTTCCTCTCAGCTGATCCTGTGCTTTTTTTCATCCCCTAATCTCCCCAATCCTGTGCCTCAACTTTGCCCCTTCCCAGTCCTCCTTATGGCCTTCTGCTTTCCCTCCCTCACAGGCTGGTCCTAGACCACAGCCTGTGGACTAGAGACTTAGGATGGGTCAGGTTAAAGAGGCAGAAAAGGGGTCTTCTCCCTGCCCCTGCTAGAGAGACAGAAGCATCACAGTCCTGTCCAGCCACACCCCTTTCTTCCTGTAGAGAGAGGGAGGAGGCTTGTTTACATGCAGAAAAGTCTGTCCAGGCTGGGCTGGAGTAGGACAGCCAGAGTCACATGTCATACATGGATGGGGGAAGGAAATGATTTGAGGAGAAACACTTTATCTCTCCCTACCTTCACCAAACTGTGGTTTCAGGATTGGGGGAAGGGAAGGTGCACCAACTATCCATGATCTTCCTAGGAGAGAAGTGGTGGGCCCTGGATAACAGCTAAAGGCACTTTCCCTAAGGGAGCTGTAAGCAGGCTGCCACCTCTTTTCAATTGGGAGGCCTTGGGGAGTTCCTAGGGGCTTCAGGAAAATAAATGCCCATAAAGGATCTGGGACCAAGTAGGTAGCATCTTCTACCCTTTGGGGTGGGGTTATTTTAAATGGGGCATGAAAGGACAAGAGAATAACATCCAGATTCCTTCTAATGCAGTCTGGCTGCTTGGCTGTCCATCCATCCATAGCAATTTATTTTCTTATTTTCTAGACATTTATTTCAGTACATAAATAGAAGCTAATTTTGGGGGTCATCTTTACATTAAGGGAAGTGTATAGAATACCTTTAATTCTCACTCAAACATCATCAGAGTCTCTGAACTGTTTCTTCATATTCTCTCTCTTCATTTATTTCTAACTTTTCCTGTTTTTTCATTCACCTGTCTGTCAAGCCATGCTTCCCTGTCTTTCCATCCCTTCATTCTTCTACCCCCTATCGCAGGGAGTCAGTCCACACTGGTTCCTTTAGGTAGCAACTGGGCCCCTGAGCCTTTCAGACAGGGCCCCAGCCCTGCCCAGTTCTGATGTCAGCTGATATGGCTTGGTGGCAGAAGATGGGACAGAGATGTAAGAGGAATCAGGTGTTTGATGATTTAGCCCCAAACCAACTTGCAACTCTCCAAGGCAGGACTGCCTTGCAAGACAATCAGGGAGGGTCTCCAAGTCAACATCTTTCCCACCCTCACCCCAGCAACAATGACATCCAAAATCTAGTGACTCATTTTCCTTTTGATGGCTGGGTACTGAGGAAGGCACACACAGTACTTTGAAAACAACCTCAGCCTAGGAGTTAAGAGATTCTAAACCCTACCCTGCCACTGACACACTCTCTGGGCTTCAGTTTCCCTATTGATATGACAAGCATTTGTCCCAGGAGCTCTGTAAGTTACCTTTAACTCAAAGAATGGCAAATATCCACCCGCCGTAAGGGAGAAAATGTTCCCATTTGCCTTTCAAGTCTGCTGAGGTCTAAGTGGAAAACTGCACCAAGCTCCTAAGGCTGCCCACACCCACTTTTTCTCCCTTCAGTCTTTCTCCTTCCTACACTCAAAAGGCTCTTTTTGAAAATGCAGATCTTATCATGTGACAACCCTGTTTAAAACCGTTTAGTGGCTCTCCACGGCTCTTAGGAAAAAGTTCAAAATCCAAACTGGGGTGTACAAGACTACAGGTGACCTGATACCTGCACACCTCACTGGCCACTCTGCCTCCATTCACTAATCTCCAACCATACTAGCCTCCCACCCACTTCCCCAACACACTGAATTCTTGACTCAGTCTTCATATGTGGTATTCCCTCTCTTGAAATAACCGCCACCCTTCTTGTCACCTGGTTAATCCCTATTTGTTATTGCGGACTCAGTGGGTTCTCTGAGACATTCCTCAACCCTTTGGATTCAATGGCGTGCCCCTCGTGATCCTTTATGTAATCCACATGAGGGCAGAGAATGTGTCTGCCCATCATAATGCCCCTCCATAAGTAAGTATTCGTAAATATTTTCTGAATGAGTGAGTGCTCTATGACTATTGGGAAGGAAGAGATCCTTGCCTCAATGCTTCCTAGGAGGCTGAACACAAAGGGGTAGGACTGACCTTTTGGTTCAACCCAGATGCCTCTGCCCTATAATCTACTAGCTCTTTTAGAGAAGTCCGATGTGGGGCACAATAACCCTTTAGGAGGCCCTATCTTGAAACTTTGGGAAAGCTGACAGGTCAAGCTCTTTGGATAGGACTGGAGGTCCTGAAAGCTCCCACTTACAGGAAGCCCTTAAGCCAGCCCTACCTTCTAAGCTGCAAATTATCCCATTCCTCAGCTTCACACTTGAAGGGGGAAGTGTTAGGAAGGAGTTGTGGGGTTGTGGACTTGGATCCCAACCCTGCTTCTCCTCTTCTGCCCCCTCCCATCTGAAACTGAGTTGGGAAGGAACCAAGGCTGATTCTGGGAGACTCTGTGAGTATGAATCCAAAAAGGAAGGGGCAGACTGGGATTTAAGCTGGAGGCAAAGCTGCTTAGGGAGGTTTAACCCCAACAGGACTTATGGCTGGAGTGGGGAGGAGAGATGTGGGGTTGTACGAGCATGTGACTGGGTGTGAGTACACATGTTCCCTACGCAGGAGGTCAAGAGCAAATGAGGAGCCAGAGCCTTGAACACAGGCATGTGAAGCCCCTCTGTGCAGAGAGGGTAGGAGGCAGACAAGAAGCAGTGTCTATGTTTAAAGGAGAGTGGCCTTGAGTTTGTCAACTTAATGGAGTATTTCCAGGAAGAGTATTTGGGGGTTTCAGGAAACCCCCTGAGCCAGCCTCTTCCTCCCCAGGCTGTGCCTTCCTCACCTACTGCGCCCGGGACTCTGCTCTCAAGGCTCAGAGTGCACTGCACGAGCAGAAGACCCTGCCAGGGGTAAGTCCACCAGGGTTGGGGGGTGGGAATCACATCAGGCTGGGGACATACCCTACATGCATGCCAAAGCAGCATGTAGGAGCTGGATTGAAACCAGAAACTGGCAGCAGAACCATCTTTTTAGGAGAGGGCTTACCTGTGCCCTGAACTGCTGCTATAGGCTCTTCTTCTGGCTCCAAGAAATGGGCTCAAGACCCTTGATTCCATCCTATCTTTGAGGAGAGGCATCAGTGTTGTGTGCTGCACTAGAATTTGTCCACCTTGGCTAAAATCATGGTTTCAGGTGTCATTTGTCACTGGTGTGGGCATGTAGGCAGATACATGGCTTAGGGCTTTGCTGGGCTGGTATCCCATTTTCTCCAGTTCTCCGGTCCTTGATGACATGTCCTTCTGGTCCTCTTACTGTAATGTTTTTTGGGGGTGCCTTGACTCATCAAGATTGACTTCCATCTACGCCTCAAACACTTGGCTGAAGTTAAGAGAGGCCTGATTCTACAGGCAGCTAGGCCATTATGTATCAGTGACACCTAGTATGGCCTTGGCTAATGGCTAATCACTGGACAAAAGGCAAAGAGGAACCCACTGACCACGTGGCAGGAAGAAAGTGGTGATCGTTAGGAACTAGCTTCAGTTCACCAAAAGCATACTGCCCGTCTTCATGTTCTCTTGTCCAAGGAGTGATGTGTCTAGAGCAAAAGCACTATTCAAATGTCCTGGATAGGCTAACCCTGGGACTACATCCAGTCCAAGGCCTCAGGTTTAAGAGGGTCATTAGCCTACCAGAAAGAGACCATGATGAGATGAGGACATAATATATACATGGAATGACAGTTTGAAGAAACTAGATTAAGTTATTTGGAGAAGATAGGGTTTAGTGGGGGCTTTACTAGGGAGGCATCCTAATATAATAATTAAGAATATTAGTTTGTGAGTCTCACAGACCTGGATTTGAATCCCAGCTCTGCCCTTTACCAGTTCTGTGTCTCTGGATACATTACTTAGCCTCTTGAGCTTCAATTTTCTCATCTATAATGAGTGGGTTATACTAACACTTAGCTCACTGGGCTCTCATGAGGATTAACTGAGGCTTAGCAAGTGCCTGGCACAGAGTGAGATCTCGGTAAATATTACTGTTGGGGGTGGGGATAACCACCTTCAGATTGTGAAGAGGGATTTTGTTTTCTATGGGTGGCCCCAGAGGAAAGGATCAGGACCAGTGGGTATACGAATATGACAATTAAGTTTGCAAACTTGTTGCAACAATGTTGCTAACCGTTTTTGTATATCAGAGGGATTATTCATTATAAATTTGTACCAGCTGGACAAACAGTTAACCAAGTTAACTATTTGGAAGTGCTAAAAAGGCTGCATGAAAAAGTTAGACGAAAATGACCTGAACTTTTTGCCAACAATTCATGGCTCTTGCATCATGACAATGCATCAGCTCACATGGCACTGTCTGTGAGGGAGTTTTTAGCCAGTAAACAAATAACTGTATTAGAACACCTTCTCTACTCACCTGATATGGCCTCCATGACTTCTTTCTTTACCCGAAGATAAAGGAAATATTGAAAGGAAGACATTTTGATGATATTCAGGACATCAAGGGTAATATGACGACAGCTCTGATGGCCATTCCAGAAAAAGAGTCCAAAATTGCTTTGAAGACTGTACTAGGCACTGGCATCAGTGTATAGCTTCCCAAGGGGAGTACTTTGAAGGTGACTGTAGTGATATTCAGCAATGAGGTATGTAGCACTTTTTCTAGGATGTGTTTGCGAACTTAATTGTCCTGCCTCGTAAAGAGCAGAAACACTAGCTTCAGCTCAGTCTAAAGAAGTCATCTCTTTGAATTGGAGCTGTCCAGCAGTGGGAAAAACTGCCTAGAGCTGAGCAAGCTGTTAATGGGGTGTCAGATCCTAGAACCAACTCTAGTAATTGAAGCCTCACTGTTGAAGGTTTGTGTCAAGTAACACCAACTTATCACCTTCACCAATCCTCTGTATGCAGGCTCTGAAGTCAGGAAGACCTGGGCTTGGATCCAGGCCTCACCACTCCCTAACTCTGTGACACTGGGCAAGTCTTCACCTCTCTAAGCCTAAGCGTCCTCATCTAGAAAATCGAACTCATAGGGCTGTTGTAAGAATTAAACAAACTAAGTCACATAAAGGACTGAACACAGTTTTTGGTAGACAATAATCACTAATACAGGTTAGCTGGTGGTGATAGTAGTAGTAATAGTAACAGCAGCATTAAGAAGAGGAGGAGTAGAAGTCATTCATCCAACCATGGGAGTAAATGACTTCTGTGGTTAGAATTAGAATTCAGTGTCACTGAGATAAACTGTAACATACCATGTGGGAAACAGCATGGTAGAGGTGCAGAGACAAGGAGCAGGATGGGTGTGAAATGGGGCTGGAAGTGTGGGGGAGGGCTCACGTGAGTGTGGGTCAGGCTGGGGAGAACCACAGGGGGCAGTGATTGGAGAGGAAGCTTTGGATGCCAGGCTGAGGAGTTTGGACTTTATTCTGAAAGCAACTAAAAGGCACTGAAAAAATTAAGATGAACTTTGGGAGAATAAAACCTCTCCTCAGCCAGCCACAGAGCTCCACAAGATAAGGGCTACGTGGAAGACTCTATGAGGCTAAGAGCGCCTGATATAAAGGCTGTGAAGCCCTAGACAACTGTGATAATTTATGGGGAAGTAAAGACAAACAATAATAAGTAATATTTATGGATTCCAGAACTTTACATATTCGAAGTCATTTAATCCTCTGTGAAGAAGGTATTGTTATGGGCATTCCCATTTTAGAGATGAAGAAACTGAGTCATAGAAAACAAGGGACCTACCCAAGTTTATGTAGCTACTAATGGAAAGATATGGGCTTTGAGGCCAGGTAGTCTGACTGCAGATCTCATTCTCTGTTATCTGAGCCAAGGGGGTGACAGAGTGGAGTCTAAGATTTGGGGGGCGTTGTTGACTGGATATATCTGTCCTCTCCCACCTGTTCATTCATCTACAGTCTTCTAACATGGCCTGGCTTTCTCGGGCACTGCCAGGATCAGCTTTATTCACCCTCCCCAGCTTAACAAAGTGAAAATTAATATTTAATTATTCTCCTAAATGAAAATTGATGGCTCTGTTGGCCAGCCCCAGCAATGTCCATGCCATCCATCTTTCCTCCGGGCCTGCCAGGGGCAGTGGCAGCTCTATTCACCTGGCCTCAGGCCCACCAGGATAGAGGGGGAAGGGTGCCCAGCTTTCTCTCAGTGCCGGGTTCTGGGCACAGCTGCCGTCTTCTGGAGAAGCAGAAAAAATGGTCAGTCTGGCTGCTTCTGGAGACAGGCAGGACTGTCACTGAGGGACATGGAAATGCTGGGCCAACTCCCAGGGGAAATCCTGGGCCTCTCGGGGACATTTCATGGGAACAGCTGCACTGGGACCTCCCTTTGGTCCTCCTCCACCTGCCCTGTGTTAATTTCTGTCACCTGTCAAAGCTTGGCTCCCTACTCAGGACTTCCTTCAGACCTCCCCATCCTCTTCAGCTTCTCTATGAAGCTGGAACCACTTCCTTCAGCCCCACGTTAGGCCCCAGAATTCACCTGAAGAAGGCATAGCCGCAACTCAGCCTCACCCCTGGGATTCAGAAGGTGCCCCTTTACTTGTGTCTCTCCCTGCTTATGACTTCCTTTCCTTTGGGCATCCATCCCTTTAAACACGGACAGACTGAGTACATTTGCTCTTGGAGGTGTGCCCTGCACAAAACAGCTTGAGTGGAAAGGGCAAATGGGGGCTAAATCCAGCCATGCTCTACTGACCAAGCCATGCACTTTATCACAGGGTTGTATCAGCTCAGAGGAAGGGACACATTTTTTCTAACTCACACAAAGGCACGGTATGTGCTAGTAGATGCCCAGTGAGCAAGTCAGAGTCTTTGGCCTCAAGGAGCTTCCAGCCCAGAAATAGCTCATTGCATCTCAGTGGGGTTTACACCTGGGCACATAAAAGCAGCAGCAGGAGTGAAGAGGGGGAGAAACTTCACAGAGGAGATGCTGTCAGAGCTGAATCATGATCATAAGTCATCATGTTTGAAGGTCTCGAAACCTCAAAAAAAAAGGCCACTTCTGGAAATCTGGGGACACTGTGGCAGGGAAGGTGACCAGCAAAGGCGTTTGAGACTTTATGTGTGAATGGAGAGTATTATGTGCGTTGGGGCAGCAGGGGAGGCAGGACTCACAAGTTTTGACTGCCAGTCTTGGGATCTTGGCATTTTCCTGGGAGGCTTGCAATGGGGAACCATGGTGGATTTTAAAGAGGGAAGAGTGAGGGGCTGGCTTTAAAAGATCACTCTGGGTGAAGATTGGCTTGGAGGAGAGGCATCACCAGAGAAGGGTGACCCTTTAGGACGCTGTTGCTTGAGCCCAGGTGAATGCTGCTGCTGGCCTGGGGCAGGAATGAGGAGGAGAGGATGAACTTAGAGGCATTTAGGATATGCATATAGATCCTAGAACCAATGGCACTTGGCTGAATGAGAGGAGGGGGTGAAGTAAAGCAAACTGCTGGAAATGGTGAAGTTTGCTTTTCTTCTGCTCCGCTCCTCCTTGCACCCATGATGCCTCTCTTAGACCCAACAGTGGTCCCTTCTTTGCAGAGGTTCTGAAAACACTCTTCCCATGGTGGGGAAAGGGGCTGAGAGCATGAGTGCAGAGTGGAGGAAGGAGTTGACATCGGGACAGAAGAGTCTGAAGAGGGCAATGCTCAGCCTAAGGGCAGGAATTTTAGGCAAGTCAAGCAGGGAGAAGGGGTGGGGTCTTGCCTTCCCTCTGCTGATGTGGGTAGAAGGACCAGGGCCTGACCCGTGTATATGCTGCCTCCAACCTTCCCCACTCCACTGCCTGGAGTAGGTTGTTCTCTCCTCTGATATTCTGTCCCTTGATTTCCCTCCAGGACTGGGCTCTGAAGCAGAGATGAGCCTAGATTCCACCTAGGAAACTCTCAAGGGAATTGGTGCTCAGCCAAAGGCAAGAGCTCGCCTGAGGTCCCGTGACAAGTTCTTGGCCAAGGAGGCAATGCCTTCTTTTCTTCAAAGAGGAGCCATGGTTACCTCAGCCCACTCCCACGTCCCTCCCCTGGCTGTGGCAGAAATGAAGCAGCATCCAGTTGGGCATGCAGCTCATGTGGGCAGCTCTCTTTCTCCTCCAGCCACACAGAGCATACGTAAATCCCAGGTGTCCTCCCTAACCACGTCCCATGGGGACTGGGCCCAGAGCCCCGGGGAGCACTGCTTTCTCCAGTTCTGTCCTCATCCTCTTGGGCTCCTCCCTGGGGAACTTCTCCTGCACCTCCAAACTCCCAAACTGCCAACCTCCCCAACACTGAAGCCATAAACCTGAGTCAGTGAACATTGCCGCCTCTGCCTCAGTCCCACATCCACTAGGATTTTAGTCCAGTTAATTCTTCCTAAATATCTTTTGAATCTGTCCATTTCCATCTGCCCTGGTCCAGGTCATCGTTGCCCCTTTCCTGCATCACTGATTTTCCTGCTTCTAATCTTTCCGTTTACAATCTTTTCTCTGCATGGTGACAGCCTGGGAAATCTTTCATCAGACAAAAAGAACTAGATTATTCCCCTACTTAAAACCCTCTCCTGGGTCCCTATTACCTTTGGAATACAACAAAGTCAAATTCCATGTCGTGGTTTTCACAACCTGCCCAGATCTGGCCCCTGCCCACCTTTCATTTTCATACCCTTCCATTAAACAAACAACCTGTATTACATCTGGTGTTCCTACTAAGATCTAGCCATTGTCATTTTCACCACAACCCTGCAAAGTAGGATCATGATTCTCCTTTTTACTAATACGTATTTTGAGGCTCAGAGACCTTAGAGAAGTTGCCAGTGATGGAGCCAGAATTTAAATCCACGTAAACCTGACTCAAGTAATTTGTTATACCCAGGCTATCTTTGTGCCAGATGCCCACCAGAACCCTTGCTCCTTCAGATGGGCAGCTCCCTCTCCATACCCCAGGCATCTGGAGTATTCAGCCTCCAGCCCCACCTCTCCCATTATCTTCACATGGCCCCACGTCCCCAGTCCTACAAATGACCCCCCCCAGGTCAAATCTGCCTCCCCCATAAAGCTTCCTGAGTCAGCCTCTCCACCTGGAGTCAGCCCTCTCCCAGAACACATTACACTCCTCCTAAGGCCCTGGTCCCTCTGTGCCCCATTACTTGTGTTCATGTCTGAAGAATAGAGTCAGGCAGAGCAGTGCAAAAATAATGGACTTTGATGTCAGACAGAACTGGGGGGAAATTCCAGCTCAACCACTTACCCACCGCGTGTTCTTGGACAAGTGATTATCCTCCCTCAGCCTCAGCGTTCTCATCTATACTATGGGGACAATGGTGTTACCTTGCAGAGCAGTTGGAAGGAATTTAGAAACAATGCATATCAAGTGCTCCAGGAAGGGCCTGGCTCATCCTAGGTTCTCAGGAAATGGTGGCATTGTCATCTCCTCTGTGAGCCTTTGAGGAAAGAGTCCCCAGGGTCATCACTGTCTCCTCTGAAGGGCCCAGCCTGGAGATCTTCACAGAGTTCAGGAAATGCTGGCAGCATGCCCCAATGGTGGGAAGCCTAGGTGCCCAGCCTCTGAGGTCTGGACTCTGCCAGGTCCATGGGGAACATGTATGTACCACCTAATGCCTACTCTCCACCAAAGGGTGGGCAGGGGGAGGAAAAGGGCATCCTCCCAAGCACTGATGAGCTCCAGCTCCCCAGAAACCCAGCCAGGAGACAGCTGCCATGGAAACCACTGCTGTCACATGTGTTCATCACTCTAGGCTCCATAGAGAAATTCTCAGGATCTATTTAAGAACTAATAAAATAATGATGGTCTCGCTCACCCTCACTGCCCCCAACCCCAGGCTTATACCCATCTTCCCTTCTCCCCCTCCACTCCTCCCTGCCTTTCCTGCGTCCCCTTCCTAACCCGTTATTCCCTAGTTTCCATCCCATCTCTACCAGTATTTCGTTTTCATTGCCCCTTTCTAGATCTGTCTCTTACAATCTCTCATCATTTGTCTTCCTGTGTCTCTTCTCTCCCTGTGTCTCTGCTCTCCATGGCTCTGTCTCTTGGTCTCTCCTCCACAATCGCAGGTGGCCATGCCCAGGGACGGGTCCTGTCCTCTTGGTCCCTGGTCCAGGCCAGCTCAGACCTGTCCAGCTCGCCCTGATCTGCTTGGATTGATCTATCATCCCCTCTAGACTGCAGCCTGAGTCCTGTCGGTGTCTCGACCCCCACCCACAGCCTGGTACACTGCAGGTGCTCCACCACCAGCGGGTGGGTGTGTCAGAGCGTTTAAGAGCCTGAGCTTTGGGTGGGAGGGAAATTGCACCGATTCAGACTTGGTCTGTTTTCCTTCCTTCCTTCCTTCCTTCCTTCCTTCCTTCCTTCCTTCCTTCCTTCCTTCCTTCCTTC